CCCCTTTAATTAATTCACCCCCTCTAATTAATACAGTCCACCCCTTTAATTAATTCACCCCCTCTAATTAATCCAGCTCACCCTTTAATTAATTCACCACCCCTTTAATTAATTCACCACCCCTTTAATTAATTCACCCCCTCTAATTAATCCAGTCCACCCTTTAATTAATTCACCCCCCTTTAATTAATTCACCCCCTCTAATTAATCCAGCCCACCCTTTAATTAATTCACCCCCCCTTTAATTTATTCACCCCCTCTAATTAATCCAGTCCACCCTTTAATGAATTCACCCCCTCTAATTAATCCAGTCCACCCTTTAATTAATTCACCCCTCTTTAATTAATTCACCCCCTCTAATTAATCCAGCCCACCCTTTAATTAATTCACCCCCCTTTAATTCACCCCCTCTAATTAATCCAGCCCACCCTTTAATTAATTCACCACCCCTTTAATTAATTCACCCCCTCTAATTAACCAGCCCACCCTTTAATTAATTCATCACCCCTTTAATTAATTCACCCCCTCTAATTAACCAGCCCACCCTTTAATTAATTCACCCCCTTTAATTAATTCACCCCCCTCTAATTAATCCAGCCCACCCTTTAATTAATTCACCCCCTCTAATTAATCCAGCCCACCCTTTAATTAATTCACCCCCCCTTTAATTAATTCACCCTCTCACCCCCTTTAATTAATTCAATTAATCCCAGACATAAAATATCTAGCGGTACTCACATTTCAAAGATTCCTTGCCGAGTCCGACCACTGGGAGCCTCACCGCCCGGAAATGGATCCTTCCGCTGAAGATCCGTGAAGGCAGACTGACGGCGCTGCAAAATGTCATCATCACGTTGCGCGACGCTCCTCCTACAGCAGAAGAAGGAAGTCTCGCCGCAAAGGTACAATGCCTAGGTCTTATTTTCGGGGTAGGGCTTATATTGCAGCCCACCCCGAAAATCCGACTAGGGCTTATTTTCGGGGTAGGGTTTATTTTCGGGGAAACACGGTAATAGTAAAAGACACCTAGACAGTGTATGAGTGTGTATGTATGATTTAAGTATATAATTATTTTTTTTTACACTGATTTTAACTTTATTTTATTTGAATTCAGCCAGCAGGGGGACTAACTGTCATTACAGGCAATGGAGCAATGCAGCAGCCAGCTAACCCGGCCATGTGATTGTGAGGTCCTCGCAAGGACCTCACTCTCACATGGCCGGGGGGGCTGAAGGAGGCAGGATCCGCCGCGGGGGACTCCCTGGGATCCCAGGTGAGTCTCCCCAATCGTGATCGCCGGCGTGGGATCGCCGTGACCGGGTAAGTAAAAACAAAAAACGGAGGGCGTACTATTATGCCCTGCGGCGTTTAGAGCCGCTTAGAATAGGGCGTAATAGTACGCCCTCAGGTTTTAAGGGGTTAAAGGACCACTATAGGCACCCAGACCACTTCAGTTTAATGAAGTGGTCTGGATGCCAGGTCCATCTAGGGTAGAGAAACTGCTATGTTTACATAAGGGTTAATCCAGCCTCTAGTGGCTGTCTCATTGACAGCCACTAGAGGCCCTTCCGCGCTTCTCACTGTGATTTTCACAGTGAGAAGACACCAGCGATGACGACCGAAGGAGGAGGAGAATCCCAAGCACAGAGGGAGCCTGGCGCTGGAGAAAGGTAAGATTTGAATCCCTTCCTCCAACTTCAGCCTAGCGGTTTGTTTTCCTGGCACTATAGTGGTCCTTTAATAGTTTATTCTCATTATAAATAATACTAAGTGTCTGCTCCAGACATGTTGGCTGACTAAAATATGTAATAAAAAATTCAAAAATATGTATATGCTCTAAACAGGGAGAACCAGCAGCGTCTTCAGTCTGACTTTGCTGAGATGATCAAGGAATCACTGAAAAGAAGAGAAGCTGAGGGATTTAAAGACAGGCAGTTGACACGTGTGGCAAGCTACCGAAGTGGAACCTTGGAATATCTTCAACTTGAGACCAGCAACCCAGCCAGCACTTTCCTTTAACGCTATGTGACAGTCCACTTAGAAGAAGAGTGTCCTAACTAATACAATATTTAACACTATTACAGCTTTATTGTAGTTTTGGCCATACTCGCAGATGGCACTGCAAGGTTATCCAAAATAACACTGACAAGTAAAGTAATAATTAGTGCATTACAACACTATGCCTAATCTTTTAAACATGAGTTTCTTAACTGGTCCGAAGCTGGAAGCATTTTTGTTGTGTGACACTAGAAGCACAATTGCACAAAATATGTTGTAAAGTTTTTGGGTTTTTTTAAATGCTGCACTAAGTTAATATATTTTGGTGTTTTCAGCATATTAAAATTAATTATGTTGATTATATTTAAATGGGCATAATAGGCACATTTTGTGTATAGATCATACCCCTGTAGTCTCACTGCTCAGTTCTCTGCCATTTAGGAGTCAAATCACTTTTGTTTCTGTTTATGCTACCCTAGCCACACCTCCCCTGGCTGTGACTGACACAGCCACCATTAAAAAAGGTAGTTTAAACACTAATGTCTTTTTACAGGAAGTGTTTAGGAAAACCGTGTAAGTCACATGCAGGGAGTTGGGACTAGGGCTGCATAAACAAACTGATTTAACTCCTAAATGGCAGAAGATTAAGCAATGGGGCAAGGGTATGATCTATATAAAATTATTTTGATGCCTATAGTGTCCCTTTAAGATTAAAATGCTTTAAATATATATTTATAGATCTACTAAGTTGGTGTTTTGACACAAAAGTTGCACAAGAATAGAAACGCAATGAGTAAACCAGCAAAATATGTGTAAATCCTCAGGTCAATATATATTATATATACTATATAGATCAATATAGTTTTATTTACAAATAACAGTAGAAATAATGTTGATGTTGAAAATATTGACCAAATTTAGAGCACAAATGCACAGAGAAACAAACCACTAGTGCAATGATGCTAAAAAAAAATCTAACTGGAGCATGGAAAAAGAAATGGATCCATTCACATGGCACAGAGCTGTATCCAGACTCTGGTAGTGCAGCATTAGAGTTGCAAGTAATGGTTAAATCAGTATGGCCATCTGGACCAGGTTTTCTAGTCAACTGCCTAAAATATATCCAGATATATGATGCAGTGCAGGTAAAAAATTACATAAAATAAATTATGAACAGTTTTAAAAATATATTTTAGGAATACCCCATATAAGGTAAACTCACAACTGTACATAAAATAGTACAAAAGAGTACAACAAATAGAGCCAAAGGCAGTTTCAGAATTTCCACCGCAATGTCACAATAATTAAGATGATAACTATTAAGTAATATATTTAAAGGGATACTATGGACACCAACATAAGTTACTCTCATTTCAGGTAAATTATCTTACTATATCTAAGTTGGTGTTTAGTTGATCTGCACCATGATGATTCTCTTTCTTTTTGTGAGGAATTTCCTGGTGTAGTCTCATGTAATACTTTATTTGTAGAAATTTTGTGAGTACATAATTGTATTCGTTTAAGGAAGCTCTTGGATCACAATATATATAAATAAGCACCCAGCACTTTTTCTGCTTATTTGCTAGGCAATTGCTTCAAAAATCCAGTTCAAATAGCCATACTGTCATTGTAGCCCTTGGTGGGCAACCTAATGTTATACTAACAGAGCCTGGATGCAGCTCTGTGAAATGTGAGTGGATTCATTTTTGTGTACATACTCCAATTTTTTTTTTTAGCATTGTTGCATAGTAGCTTCTCCAGGAGAGGGCTGGCAGCCCAAGGCCTGGGGGAAACCCAGTCAAGTGGCCCATTGCACCAAGAGGAGAGTAAAAACACATTTTCCATGTGATTGAAGGGGGGGAGGGCGGGCAGTCACCTAAACAGATACACTCACTGACAGGCACACACATACTTGCTGATTTGACACACACTTACTGACAGGCATACACACACACACATACAGACAGACACACTGTTACAGTCATACTGACACACACAGGCATACTGTCTGACACACACACACACAAACTGGCACACACACAGAGACATACTTGCGCACACACATACATAGATACTAACACACACAGACAGACATACTGACACACAGATAGACATACTGACACACACACACAGACAGACATACTGACACACACATAGAGACATACTGACACACAGAGACATACTTACACTTTAAAAATCAGTAGACAGGGGCTGAGTAAGGGGACATTGTTGTAGTAGGGGGCTAGGGGCTGTAGTGGGGGGTATGAGCTGTAATTGGCGGGTTAGGAAATGTAGTGAGGGGATGGGGCTAAAGTAGGTTAATGGCTACATTTTGGGAAAGGGATTGTGGTGTGGGTGATATGGGTTGCAATTGGGGGAGAGGAGCTGTAGTGGGGATGTGATGGGGGGCATGGGTCTGAGAGAGGGGGACAGGAGATCAGAGGGAGGAGACAGGAGCTGAGAGGGGGACAGAAGCTGATGGGAGGGGGACAGGAGCTGAGTAAGGTGGACAGGGGCTGAGGAAGGGGGCAGGGACTGAGAAAAGGGACAGGGCTGAGAAAAGGGACAGGGCTGAGTAAGGGGGCCAGGGGTTGGGGTAAGGTGAGAGGCAGTGGCGGACTAAGGGGGGGCGGAGGGGGCAATCCGCCGCCGGTGCCACCTGGAAGAGGGGTGTCTTGACCCTTTTCTTGGGGCTGGAGGGGGCTGCTCACACAAAGACCAGCAAGATGAACTGGCCGCACGGGAGGAAGAAGGGGCAGAGTTACAGCGATTTAGGGGTGGGGCCTAATTGCGAGAAGGGGCGGGGCTTAACCTGCTTACCTGCTGCTGTTAATGCTGCACATGGAGGTGCAGCAAGAAGAAATCCCTGCACCTCCACCTCCAGCCAGGGAAGGACTTCAGGCCAGGGAATCCACTCCTCCAGCCCACACTGTCTGTAAGTATAAGAGTGTGTGTGTGTGTGTGTGTAACTGCCTGAAACTGTGTGTGTGTGTGTGTGTGTGTGTGTGTGTGTGTAACTGTCTGTAACTGTGTGTGTGTGACTGTCTGTCTGTAACTGTGTGTGTGTGACTGTCAGTCTGTAACTGTGTGTATGTGTGACTGTGTGTGTCTGTAACTGTGTGTGTCTGTAACTGTGTGTGTGTATAACTGTCTGCCTTTAAAAATGTGTGTGTGTGTGTGTAATGGTCTGCCTGTAACTGTGTGTGTGTAACTGTCTGCCTGTAACTGTTTGTGTGTAACTGTCTGCCTGTAACTGTGTGTATGTGTGTGTAACTGTCTGCCTGTAACTGTGTGTGTGTGCGTAACTGTCTACCTGTAACTGTGTGTGTGTGTAACGGTCTGACTGTAACTGTGTGTGTGTGTAACGGTCTGCCTGTAACTGTGTGTGCGTAACTGTCTACCTGTAACTGTGTGTGTGTGTGTGTGTGTGTGACTGCACGCCTGTAACTGTGTGTGTGTGTGACTGTCTGTGACTGTGTGTGACAGTCTGCCTGTGAGTGTGTGATGCTGCCTGTAACTGTGTGTTACTGTCTGCCTGTGACTGTCTGCATGTAACTTTGTGCGTGACTGCCTGTAACTGACTGTGTGTGTTGTGGCTGTAACTATGTGTATGACTGTCTGCCTGTGACTGTGTGTGTGACTGTATATGTGACTGTCTGCCTGTAACAGTGTGCGTGACTGTGTGTAACTGCTTGTAACTGACTGTGTGTGTGTGTGTAACTCTCTACCTGTAACTGTGTGTATGACTGCCTGTGACTATATGTGTGACTGTCTGCATGTGACTGTGTGCGTGTGACTGTCTGCCTGTAACTGTGTGTGACTGTCTTCCTGTAACTGTGTGTGAGGGGGTGCAGGGATTTTGTAGAGGGGGGCAGGGGTTTTAAAAAGTTTACAAATTTGTTCAATACATATAAAAAAAAATTGAAAAATATAACACATTTTAAAAATTTAGTAGGTTTTTTGGGTTTGTTTTTTTTTTTTGGAGAAGGGGAGGGCGGGGCGGGGGGGTTCCAAACCCAGGACCTGCCACTGGTGCCACATGCCCTAGGTACGCCCCTGGTGAGAGGGGCTCGGAAAGGGGATAGGGCCTGAGGAAGGGGACAGCGGCTGAGGAGGGGGATAAAAAAAAACAAAAAACTAATGTGTATTCCCCCCCCAGAGGGGGTGGGCAGGAGCCAGGAGCCAGGAGCAGCAGCCAGCAGTGGAGTCGGCTGTCCTTTCCTGATGATGTCAGGAGGAGGGGGCATGACTTCCTTTGCTCTTCTCCCAGACTCCCCAGCTGTCAGCGGTCCCCAGCAGTGACATCATCAGGAGAGGCCGGCCAACTCCACTGGCTGCAGGGAGAGAGGTAAGTTGAAAAATCCGAGTACCCAGCCAGAGGCAAGGGATTCTGACTTTTTCTTTTTTTGCTGGATGCGGACGGCCCTGGATTTAGGGCGGCATGGCAGGCAGTTGCCCCCTTGCTCCCCGTCCCAGCCCGCCCCTGAGCGTCTCTGTATAATGCTGTCCTAGATTTATCATCATTTCAACAAAAGCATTATCTATTCAAGGTTATATTTAGAAACAAACCAGAAAAGAACACAAGAGAAGGTTGTATTTATACTATATTGATATGAGAATTTGTCCAACATGTTATACTGGTTTATAAAAAAAAGATACTGTATATATAATATAATTATACTGCGAGTGAGATATTTTACATATAGTGAAATTCATATTCAGACCAAGAACTCAAGATAAAATTATTCAAAGCATCAGTTTAATTATTGTCATATGTCTATGTGGGTAAATGTGATATTTCTTGGCATATGGTAATCCCACTACACATTTACCCTTTGCTCAAATGCCATTTGTGAACTGCCTTTATAGAATTAAATATAACAAAACAGAGCACATAAAAGGGCAACTATGAGCTAAAAAGTTATCTTCAGTTTTTTTATATAAGTATGAAAAACAAAACATGCTTACTGTAGTTCCCAGCAGAATCACCGATGCGTCTTTTCCCATAAACCTTTGCACAGCAGAGTTTTATGGGATAAGATGTTTATCCCCAAGAGCAGGTTCTTTCTTTATTTAGGATGAGTGAAACTGCTCTGTAAACTGATAGCAGCTATACTATAGTTGTATAGGCTTCTTTCTGTTCATTTAAGAGAGCATTTTATGCACCATAACCACAACAGCCCAGCTGTGTTTATGGCGCAAAGAGTCTTTGGATGCTGTGTCATTGGTTAGTGTAAAAACTATTTTTGAACAGTCTGACAAAAAGAAGGTCTCTCTCAGCGCCTAAAGCCTAGATATTGTACTGGATCTCAACCATCATTAAAGTAACCTTCCAAATTAGCTGCTATAATTGAATATATGATATAGTTCTGCATTTCTGTCTTTGTAGATTGATTTAATTATTTCTATTGAACCATAAGAATTGCTATAGATCATTGCTGTATATTATTGCTATATTGTTATATTAAAGGAGCACTCCCAAGGTGAGAAGTTAAACCATTCTAAAATGGTCTGCATACTTGAACTGGGAAGATGCCAGGACACTCCTGGCCCCATAACCACCATATTAAACTGTAGTAGTTATGGTGCCTGGAGTGTTACTTTAATTAATGTTTTGAATATAAATAACACTAATCTGTGCTAT